GCTTAAAGTTTCACATTCAGAAAACTAAGATCATGGCATCTGGTCCCATCATTTCATGGGAGATAGATGGGGAGACAGTGCAAACAGTGTCAGACTTTAATTTTTTGGGCTCCAAAATCACTGCAGATGGTAACTGCGGCCATGAAATTAAAAGATGCTTACTCCTTGGAAGGAAAGTTATGACCAACCTAGAGAGCATATTAAAAAGCAGAGACATTACTTTGCCAAGGAAGGTCTGTCTGGTCAAGGCTATGGTTTTTCCAGTGGTCATGTATGGATGTGAGAGTTGGACTGTGAAGAAAACTGAGCGCTGAAAAATTGATGCTTTTGCACCACGGTGTTGGAGAAGACTCTTGAGAGTCCCTTGGACTGCAAGGAGATCTAACCAGTCCACCCTAAAGGAGATTAGTCCTGGGTGTTCATTGGAAGGACTGATGCTGAAGCTGAAACTCCAGTACCTTGGCCACCTCATGCGAAGAGTTGACTCACTGGAAAAGACCCTGATGCTAGGAGGGATTGGGGGCAGGAGGAGAAGGGGATGACAGAGGATGAGATGGCTGGATGGCATCACCAACTCGATGGACATGGGTTTGAGTAAACTCTGGGAGTTGGTGATGGACAGGGAGGCCTGGCGTGCTGCGATTCTTGGGGTCCCAAAGAGTCAGACAGGACTGAGCTACTGAACTGAACTGAACTGATGGTGTTAAAGAATATTCTAATTTTATTTTACATCTAGCTGTCCAGTTTTCCCAGCACCAGTTATTTGAGAGTGTCTTTTTCCCATTGTATACTGCTGCCTCCTTTTTCATAGATTAGGTGACCATAGGTATATGGGTTTATCTCTTGGCTTTCTATCCTGTTCCACTGATCTATATTTCTGTTTTTGTGCTGGTACCATGCTGTCTTAATTACTGTAATTTGTAGTATAGTCTGAAACCAGAAAGCATGACTCCTCCAGCTCCGTTCTTTTTTCTCAAGATTATTTTGGCTATTTAGGGGCTTTTTGTGTTTCCAGAAATTTTTAAAAAATTATTTATTCTAGTTCTGTGAAAAATTCCAGTGGTAATTTGATAGGGATTATATTGAATCTGTAGATCACATTGGGTAGCATAGTCATTTTAGCAGTACTGATTTTTCTAATCCAAGAACACAGTACAGCTTTCCACTTGTTTGTGTTGTCTTCAGTTTCTTTCATCAGAGTCTTATAGTTTTTGGAGTACAAATCTTTTGCCTCCTTAGGTAAGTTTCTTCCCATGTATTTTATTCTTTCTGATGTGATGGTAAGTGGGATTTGCCATCTCCTTCATTTCTCTTTCTGATATTTTGTTGTTAGTGTATAGAAATACTACAGATTTCAGTATACTAACTTTGTATCCTGGGAACTTACCAATGCGCTCTGGTAGTTTTCTGGTAGTGCCTTTAGGATTTTCTATGTATAGTATCATGTCATCTGCTAATGGGGACAGTTTTGCTTCTTTTCCAATTTGAATTCCTTTTATTTCTTTTTCTTATCTTATTTCTGTGTCTAGGACTTCCAAAACTATGTTGAATAAAAGTAGTGAGAATGGGTATCCTTGTCTTGTTCCCGTTCTTAGAGGAAAAGCTTTCAGTTCTCTACCTTTGAGTCTGATGTTAGCTGTAGGTTTGTCATATATGGCCTTTATTATGCTGGGGTAGGTTTCCTCTATGCCTACTTTCTGAAGAGTTTTTTAAAAATTATAAATTGTATTGAATTTTGTCAAAAGCTTTTTCTGTATCTATTAAGATGATCATTTGGTTTTTATTCTTCAATTTGTTAATGTAGTGTATAACATTGATTTGCAGATATTGAAAAATTTTTGCATCCCAAGGGTAAATTCCACTTGATCTTGGTATATGGTCCTTTTAATGTATTATTGCACTCAGTTTACTGGTATTTTTGGATAATTTTTGCATCTATATGTTCATTAGTGATATTGGCCTATAATTTTTTGTGTGATACTTTTGTCTTACTTTGGTATCTGGGTGATGGTGCCTCATAGAATGAGTTTGAAGGTATTCCTTTCTCTACATTTTTTGGGAACAGTTTCAGAATAATAAGTATTAACTATTCTTTAAATGTATGGTAGAATTTGCCTGTGAAGCCATTTAGTCCTGAATGTTTGTTTATTGGGAGTTTTTAAGTTACTGATTCAATTTCAGTACTGGTGATTGGCTTGCTCATAGTTTTTATTTCTTCCTGATTCAGTGTTGGGAGATTGTACCTTTTAAGAACGTGTCCATTTCTTCTATAATGCTCATTTCATTGGTGTATAGTTGCTTGTGGTAAATGCTTATGATCCTTTGTATTCTGATTGTATTAATGTGAGCGCTCTCTTTTTTTTTCTTGATAAATCTGGCTAAGGGCTTATAAATTATGTTTATCTTTCCAAAGAACCAGCTTTTAGTTTTATTCATTTTTTCCTATATATTTTTTTGCATCTATTTTATTTAATTCTGCTCAGATCTTTATGATTTCTTTCCTTCTACTAACTTTGAGTTTTGTTTGTTCTTCTTTCTCTAGTTGCTTCAGTTGCAAGGTTGGGCTATTTATTTGAGATTTTTCATGTTCCCTGAGGTAAAGCTTTTACTGCTATCAACTTCCCTCTTAGAACGACTTTTGGTGCATCCCATAAGTTTTGGATCATCGTGTTTTCATTTCTATATATGATGGAATGTTATTCAGCCCTAAGAAAGAAGGAAATCCTGCTATTTGTGAATGGACCTTGCAGATACTTTAATAAGTGTAATAAATCAAACAGAGAAAGATAAATAGTGCATGGTATTCCTTATATGTGGAATTTAACCCCCAAAAGTCAAAATTATAGAAATAGAGAGTAAAAAGTGGGAACTGAGCACCGGGAATGGGGGAGATAGAGGTTAGTAAAAGCATGCAAACTTTCAGCTATAAAGTGAATAATATCTAAGAATCTAATGTAAAAATGGTGATTATAGTTGATAATGATAGTTGTTCAGTCATGCCTGACTCCTTGCAATCCCATGGACTGTAGCCTGCCAGGCTCCTCTGTCCATGGAATTTTTCAGGCAAGATTACTGGAGTGGGTTGCCATGTCCTTCTCCAATATTGATAACACTATTAAATAATTGAGATTTGCTAAGAATAAAACTTAAATATTCTCATCAAAAAAGAGATAAATATGTGAGGTGATAAATGTATTAATTAACTAGATTAATTGGTTATTAATTAAATAACTAAGTGGGAATGAAATGAAAATGAAGACAGCAGAAATCCCATATATATATACACATATGCACTGCCTTCAAATAGAGTCAAAAGAGATATTCTGTCCCTAAAGGATGGGATGCTGTGTTTTAAATTGCTATTAAGACAAGTTTATTCCCACTCCTCTACCTCCATAATACATCTTGGGAAACTATAGCTTAGTACCAGAGGAATTTTCTCACTTATCTCGCCTCTCATGATGTCCGTTCTGTGCCAGGGAGATAGAATTGTTTAAAGGTATGCATCTATTACATTAAAAAAAAAAATGGGCAAACCCTGTAAAACAAGCAATTTCTTGTTCTGGTATAATCTGCCTTCAAGAAATGCTCACAACACATGCACAGGGCATTGCTTATAACAAGAGATTTAAATTTTAAAGTTATGGGGTATATTTACAGCAGCACAATAGTTACAAAGCTGTAAAATTATTTCTCCCAACTGAGAGAACTGGGGTAAGAATTTGGGTCCATGTTGTAGGAAATGAAGGTTAAGGGCTTCTCTAGGCCTTGGGTTCTAATTTTATTTTATTGTATTATGAAATCTTCTGCATCAAGGTCTAGAGTGCACTATTGAAATCTTACAGCCCTATTCAGGCTTCAATTGCATGTCATATATAGAATTCTTAAGGTTCTCATTAGTTGAAGATTTAGGGGAAATTTTTCAAAGTGACAATAAGTTTGGTGAGATACATTTACCAAAATATGATGGATTGTTCTCTTAGGCAAGAATTTAGGACAACAGAGAAAAGAATTCCTCTCTGTTTGTGAAACCTTGTCTAAGTTGTATTTAATGCTGGATACCATACTTGATCTGGGATACTTGGAGTGTATTTTCAAAACACCACGGTGGTGAAGGAATCTGAAACCACCTCAATAGAGGCAGAGAGTGAAAAAAAAATTCTGCCAGGGAAAGAGGAAAACATCCCAGTATTGTACAAAATGGTATTAACTCAATAGCTGGTACCTCTTATAGCCCTGTCCTTCACCATTGTGTCCCTTGCTCTTAAGTCGACAGCTGCGCACACAGTGGGTCCTCAATCGATGTTTGTTGAATAGTTACGTTATCATGTAGTCTTGAGGGTATGATTGCCTGATCATATTTTAAATTAACTACTACATCTGAAGGAAGCATTATTGCAGTTCTTGGGGGACGCAGTGGCCGAATCCTGGCTCCCGCAGTGGCGCATCTAAGGGCATCTTCGGTCCCAGGGGGCCTTGCCAAGGATGACCTTTCTTTTTCTTGCCCTTTTCCTCCCTCCCATCTCCAGGCTGTAGATGACTCCGTGGTCACGAGGTCGCGACAGTCCGCGCCGTCGTGGAGACAGCAGGACGTGGAGAGAGAACTACATTTCCCAGCTGACTCTCGGGCGCGCGCCCCTGCTCCAGTGCGGGGGGCGATTGCAGCAGGCGCTCTCTCCCCGCCGAGCGCTCGTCGCCCGCCGGAGCCTCTGCCAGGGGATGAGGTGGGAGGCGCTAGAAACCACTTAGCTACAGCCAACCGCCCAATGCAGCACTCGCTCGCTCCCCCCACCAGCGGAAGCGCCCGCGGAGCACAATGCAGCACTGAGGCAGCCCCGCGGCGGAGGCTGCAGCGCCTGGGTCGCCACAGCTCGGGTCGGGGCTGGGAGCGGGTAGCCCAGGCTAGCCCCGGGCGCGGGGCGCGGGGCGCGGGATCCGGCCGCGGCTGCCTGGGCATGAGGAGCTGAGCATCTCGGGCGAGGCGGGCGGACGGCAGCACCATGCAGGCGGCGGCGGCGACGGCGACGGCTGTGTCCGTGCCCTTCTTGCTGCTCTGCACCCTGGGGACCTGTCCCCCGGCGCGCTGCGGCCGGGCAGGTAAGTTCGCCGTCCTCTGTGGCTCTGCAAAGTACCATTTCCCCGGCATCTTTGCAGCCCTCAAGCGCATGATAAAGGGGCATCCCCCATTTCCCGAGTTAGCGGGGAGATTTTTTTATTTAGAAGGGTGGTGAGAGTGAAGCAAAAATATATTGTGGGGGCGCGCGGATACGTTAGAAGCTTTAGGTCAAATGCTTGTTTTTCTTCGGAAGTAGAAGAGGAATGCGGAGGATGGGAGAGGGGGCTCTGCTTTTGGGCCCCGATCTTGGATGCTCTCAGATGAGCTGGTCCAAGGCTTTGCGTCTGGTGTCTCTGCGTCCTTCCCAGATGGGGTCTGGGAGGGAGGGGAGGTGGGATCTTCTCCGGAGAACCATCGGACCGCAGGATGGACGAGTGTCCGTCAGGGTCATTATTTTCGCCTTTTCTCCCTAATTCTTCCTTCCCCCCTTTCCTGCCTGGAGGAGACGCCCCGTTGACCGAGCTGGAGAGGAGGAACGAGAACCGCTTCCTGGAGCGCCAGAGCATCGTGCCACTCCGGCTCATCTACAGCTCGGGCGGAGAAGACGAAACTGGACACGACGCGCTGGACACGCGGGTGCGGGGCGACCCCAGCAGCGGGCAGGTGAGAGGCGCGGTCCAGGGGGTGGTCCTATGCGCGGCCCGGCCCACTCCGACCCTGCGTTTGCTCTCGGTTGCCCTGGAGATGCAGTGTCTTGGGTGAAAGCAGCGCAATTCTCTTGCGAGTCATATATGGCGCTCCCTGTGCAAAAGAAAGAAGAGAAGGCGGACAAGACCCCCAAAGAGTCACAGGCCAGGGGCTTTGCTCAAGAGGTGTTTCTGCGGGATGCCTTCTTGTGAGCGGCAACCTGAGTGAAGGGGCGGAGACCCTCTCACCGCTGCCAGGCAAAAGCCATGTGTAGGCAAGAAGGCATACAATATTTGAGCAGGATTTACATCATCATTGTTGTTGTTGTGGTTGTTGTTGTTGTTTTAATTCTCAAAGAGAAGGCTTTGTGTGGTTTTAGCCAAGATTTGTACTGTACGAAAATAGGAAAAACAAGCGTAGACATCCCTGCTTAAACTTAAAATTAAGCTCAACTACAAGGTTCTGAGCGCACTCAATTTGTGGACATCGGAGATGGACCCATTCAACTCCACCTTTCAAAAAAGACATCCCCTTCTCCCCTTTCTTTATTGATAGCAGTCCTCTTGGTGTAATTAGGGCAGTGTGGCTTTGGGGGCATTTATAAAATAAAATAAAAACCTAAGTACCGTTTACCATATTTAGGTCAATATCACACATTCACAGATATGCTTGAAAATTCTTTTTTGAACTTACTGTTTAAGTAAATATTTTGGAGCTCTGTAAGCATTTTTTTTACATGTATCGACCTGGCAACCAGTTCATCCACCTGTAAGTACATATTCAGATAGAACATGTTCATGTAGCTGAGAATTTTGCACACTTCACTAAAGTACACTGAATATTTTTACATGTCTAAATATATTCTTAATATTTTAAGATGTGTCTTGATGTGATAATCATAGTAATTTATTATAAGTATAAAATATGTAAACATAGAAAAATACTCCTTATTTGTAGCCAAGTACTTAATTTTGTTAAAATGTTAACATGATAGAAATTAAAGTGCTATAGTAATATCCATCAATTAGATTATCATAATAGAAAATTTAATATGTCAAGTTTTAGTGAAGGATCCCATCATTTGAACTGATGTTTGGTAAACACCAGTTCCATTATGGGGATTCCCTGGTGGCTTGGATGGTAAAGCATCTGTCTGCAATGCTGGAGACCCGGGTTTGATCCCTGGGTCAGGAAGATCCCTTGGAGCAGGAAATAGCAACCCACTCCAGTACTCTTGCCTGGAAAACCCCATGGACAGAGGAGCCTGGTAGGCTACAGTCCATGTGGTCACAAAGAGTCGGACATGGCTGAGCACCAAAGCTTTCCATTATAATTTGTTTCCATAGTAAAACTGAAGAAGCATCAGACACTGTTAGAATTACTTCTGTAGAGGAATATTCTCACACTCATTTGCAACTTTTATTACAAAAAATTTCAAACACACATACACAAAAGTAGATAGACTACTATCATGAACTCTGAGCTTCAGCAATTAGCAACTCATAGCCAATCTCATTTTATATACATCCTATTTTCTTTTCCTTTCTGTATTATTTTGAAACATTTCATAAAAAAATTTAACTATGCACCTCTAAAAGACTAGGATTTTTTAGAAAATGTAATCATGATACTATCATAGCTAATATATATTAAATATGTCTATGTATTATATATAAATATATAAAATAGACTATAAATATTATATATATTTAAGTTAGTGTGAACCAGGATCCAGATAATGTTTATAAACTGCAATTCATTTTTTTGAAGCCTCTTTAATGCATGATTTCCCTCATCCTTTTTCTTTCTTTCTTCCATACAATTGAGTCATTGAAGATATGGGGTCTCTCATCCAGTAGAGTCTTCCACAAGCCAAATTTTTGCTGATATAGACATTGCTTTAAAACAAATCACAGTGCTTTAAAACAAAGCAGAGAGGAAGAAAGTAGAGATGGAGAAAAAGAAAACTGCAGGATTGAACCCGGAGACTCCTGGAGCCCCTGCCTCATGCTGGTGATGTCTTTAGGTACCCTCTGCCCTTCTCTGTGTCAGTGAAAGACTGCTATTCTCGGACAACAGGCCAGCCCTCCTTTTTCTTCCCATTTCTGGAATACCACTTTTGTGGGGTTTTTTTTTTTAGTTCATAGATCTCTCCACTTGGGGCAGAAGGTACTTGGGCCTGTGCAGCTTTTGTGTCCTACAAGGATAAGCCTCACCTTTGAGTAGAATGACCATGACCACCAAATGCCCTCACTTTTGGAGAGGTGTGAACGAATTGGTAGGCTTTAGCTTAAACGACCGGAGAAGGCAGTGGCACCCCACTCCAGGACTCTTGCCTGGAAAATCCCATGGACAGAGGAGCCTGGTAGGCTGCAGTCCATGGGGTTGCGAAGAGTCGGACACGACTGAGCGACTTCACTTTCACTTTTCACTTTCATGCACTGGAGAAGGAAATGGCAACCCACTCCAGTGTTCTTGCCTGGAGAATCCCAGGGATGGGGAGCCTGGTGGGCTGCTGTCTGTGGGGTCGCACAGAGTCAGACACAACTGAAGCGGCTTAGCAGCAGCAGCAGCAGCTTAAACAACAGCATGAGTAGTTTATTCATTCAAGTCAGAAATGAAAGTGAAGGTGCTGTCTTGTCATCAAAGTAATTATGACAGGCAGTTATCTCCATGCCGGCACCTGGTGAGATACACATAGTGCATGTGTTTGGGTGCTGGGTCTCTGGGGAGCTACAGCAGTTTATTGTGTTCCTCAGCTCCAGTTAGTGATCACTGACTAGTAGGGCTGAATCTGGCAGAGTTGCAAAGACTTAGTTGCCATATGCCAACACTTGCTCCAGTTAGGAAACTAAGGAGTGGTCCTGCAATGTGTCATTTCTTATTTCATTGAGAACTGTTCATTGAATCCAAAAACATAAGTTAATTATGTATGGACCTTGTTATTTCTTTGATGATTAAATGGATGTAATTTATACTCATAAGTATGTTTAGCAACTTCCTTTCTAATAATAAAATTAGGATGCTTTCTGTCAGCTTACAGAGGTATATACTGATTTGTTTATTTAAAAGACATTTATATACTTGAGTTCATGCTGTATAGCATTTTTTTTTTGTAAGACCCTGGGGATTTAGAGGTAAAAGACTCATTTCTAGCCTTTAAGGAGTTTACAGACAAGTAGGAAGATGAATGAATAGATAGGTAGTTACACTGTGTCCTTGTGTGTGATTTTCTGGAGGTGATCACAGAGAGATGTGGAAACAGAGAAGACAGTGCTTAACCTAGCTGAGCAGTCAGGGTGGGCTCTCAAGGGGAGGCACCATCCGAACTGTGTTTTGAGGGTTGGTAAGAACTCACCAAATTATAGGGAAGGGGTGGTCATATCAAACGAAGGGTCAGCAGGTACATGGACATGTGAAATTAGATTCATTTTTGACTGCAAATAGTTAAGATTTAAGGGACAGAAGAAACAAACCAGAAAATAGATCCTGCAGTACTTCAATGACTTGCTGAAGAATTTGGGCTTCTCCTGAAGGCAGTTCAAGGATTTCAGTAAGTAGAGTTATCGACCTACATATAGGTAACCTGCTAGAGTTACGTATACTATCATGTTGTTATGGTGTAACGCTAATTGTTAGAAATGAAATTTCAAAGGCTGAGTGAATGTGGTTGTTCACTTTAATTCATTGTTCAATGCCAATTCACATACTCATTAAGCTTCATAAGAACTTAGTTACTAAGTATACTTAGCTGCTTAGTATAAATGAGTTAATATTTATGTAGCACTCAGAACAGTTCTGCATGTTCTATAAGCACTATATGAGTTTTGTTAAATAACATTAACTCGCTTACGCTGCTTGAGTACTATTTAGAAATTTTATGACATCACTTCAATGCAAAATGGTGCCCTAATTACCAGAATTTTACACTTTCCCAGAAGTAAGTTACAAATTACTCAGGTTTACATAACTAAGTGGAATCTTAATGATTATAAAGATGAAAGAAATCTTATAGGTCATCTAACCTAATTGAAGACTCACTTCTTACCTGGTAAGATAGAGTCATTGATCTGGAGTAAGGAAACCAGAAATGTTTTACTTAATGTTTGAGAACGCTCACAAGAACTATGATGGTATAAAGCACCTTAATTTTACTTTTACTGTGTCCTTACTTCAGTTTTCATCCCAAAATTGAACTGCACATTTTAAATTTTTGGAAAATTTATTTTAGTTCTGTGGAAATACTGGAAATTTGATAGTTGTGAAATAATTAATTCTGTTGGTATAAGTCCATATCTGTATGTCCAGTTGCTTGAATGTATATTTTTATTTTCATCCTGAATCAGATGACTGACCCAAACTGAAAGCTTATTGTGCTACGAAGTTCTAGAAATGGTAGTCAAAGGAATTGTATTTGACTGTGGGTAACCTTGCTCTCCTCAAGATTGTCTTCCTGATCTGAAGTAGTTTCAGTTCTGTAAAAGAGCACACAGAACTGGACTATTCAAAGTATACAGTCTTCCTTTCATCTGAGTTGAAATTACTTGTGCTGAAAAAATTGTATGTTGCAGGTAATAGGATAAAATATATTTTAACAGAACTTATACCCATATAGGCAAGGTATCACCTACGGAGTCCTGCTATTGGTTTGAAACCTATGGTCACGTAATTGCTATTATAAAGAGCAAGCACCTTCCTGGTTACTCTTTTTTTTCTTTTTGTTTTGGCAAGCCAAGCATGATAGATTTAGCGTAGCATCAAAGATAGGTTATTTGGTGGTTTGTTTTGCTGTGTGGCCACCCCATACATTTTCAGTAATTTGTTTGGCAGCAGTAATTGCTTTTGCTATGAGTAGCAGAATTTCTTTTTATCACAAGTCTTTGTCAGTGAATAGACAGGCTACTTGTTTTCTGTCTCATTCCCTGGAAAGGGTTTGTAAGCCTCTCAAGTGGTCAAGTGTCGAGAACATAGACCTA